GTTATCGGATCTAGCAGCGTGATGTCAAGCACAGTGCGACATGAGCTTAGGGTGGGAAGGGTGTGTGGCATGTGAGCCTATAGCCGATAGCCAGTACTGTACTGTACTGTACTGTACTGTACTGTACTGTACTGTACTGTAGTGTACTGTACTGTAGTGTACTGTACTGTAGTGTACTGTACTGTAGTGTACTGTATTGTACTGTAAATAAAGCTAGAGATTCAAGCACACTGCAGCACAAGCTGAGCCGATAGTCACCTGTTGGGGCGTGGTGTATGACTTCTGGGATGTGACACAACGGCGGGAAATCGGCATGTGATCGTGACTTCACGATACTCAGCACACTGTGGCACGAGCTGAGCCGACAATTACCACGTGGGGCATGGTGTGTGTGTGGTGCATGGCGTACGGTACACAGGGATGAGAAGGGCAGTGGAGGGTGGGTTGCTCTAGAGGCGCCTCAAAAGCAGACAGTTACCTCGTGGGGCGTGGTGTGTGTGTGGTGCATGGCGTACATGATACACGGGGGGGGTTGAGAAGGGCAGTGGAGGGTGGGAGGCGGATAAGATAGGCCTGTGAGAAGGGCGTTTCCTGGTCCATGGAAGGGCGGTGGGGTGGTGGGGCAGTGGGCGGTGGTGCAGTGGTGCCGTGGGGCAGCGGGCGTTGGGGCGTTGGGGCGGTGGGCGGTGGGGCCCGTCTGATACATGGAAGGGCAGGGCGGTCCCCTCGCGACCCCCTCCCCCTCTCCCCCCCCCTCACGCATTCCTATCCAGAAACATATTTTCATACAGAAACGAACAAGAGTTAACGTATACTTGGTCTACTCACAAGCAAACGGAGTCTCTTCCAGGTTTCATAACTCACCTGGCCCCAGAATGAGTGTCGGTCGCATGCACATCAGCTCCATTCCAAGCCCCTCTGCATACGCCCTCGCCCGCTCCTCCGCCTCTATCTTCGCCCGGTAGTACGGCCATCCTCCCACCACACCCATAGCATACGGCGAATCATCGCTCGCCACCTGTCCAGGATCCCTACTCGCCCCTACAGTTCCTGAGGTGGAGGCGTAGACCACCCGATTAACTCCGGCTTTAGAAGCCGCGTGGAGAATAGCTAGCGTGCCGTCGATGGTGGTTTGGGCGATAGTGGGTTGTGGGGAGGAGTTAGGTTGTGGGGATGACGTGGCGGCGCGTGAGTGGGTGACGATTCCGGCTAGGTGAAAGAGGCCGGATGAGCCTTGGAGGAGGGAGTCGAGGGCGGAGGGGTCTTCAAGAGGGCCCAAGACTACCTGATAGTATGAGAGGGAGGGGGGAAGGGAGGGAGGGAGGGAGGGAGGGAGGGAGGGAGGGAGGCATGGGAGCATTATGGCATAGTTTGGTGAAAGAAGCCAGGATGTGCCAAGGGGGAGAGAATCCAAGGCGGAGGGGCAAAGAGGGAGGGAGGGAGTATGGCATGGTGGTTGGGGAGCAGGGCATGCAACAACACGGTCATCACCCTGTCTTGACTGAAAATCCAAGCTTTTTTCAAGCGTAGCCAGCCTGGACTCACACAGTGGAAAATCTCGCGGGACCCGTACTGACCCGTACTGACCCGTACTGACCCGTACTGACCCGTACTGACCCGTACTGATCCGTACTGACCCGTACTGACCCGTACTGATCCGTACTGTCCCGTACTGACCCGTACTGACCCGTACTGATCCGTACTGATCTGTACTGTCCCGTACTGACCCGTACTGACCCGTACTGACCCGTACTGATCCGTACTGACCCGTACTGACCCGTACTGACCCGTACTGACCCGTACTGATCCGTACTGATCTGTACTGTCCCGTACTGACCCGTACTGACCCGTACTGATCCGTACTGATCCGTACTGATCCGTACTGTCCCGTACTGACCCGTACTGACCCGTACTGATCCGTACTGATCCGTACTGACCCGTCCTGACCCGTACTGACCGGTACTGACCCGTACTGATCCGTACTGACCCGTACTGACCCGTACTGACCCGTACTGACCCGTACTGACCCGTACTGATCCGTACTGATCCGGGGGAATTCCAGGGCGACCTGGGCCTTTTTCCTCCCTCCCCCCCCCCCCCCCCCCAACACCTTTTTTTGGCCTCAACATTTGACCCCCCCCAACTCGCCGCCCTCCGCAATTCCCTCCCCCCCTCCCTCCCCCAAATCTCGCCCCACACCTCTCAAAGCCCGGTACATTCGGGAACCACCCTTGCTGGAAGCCGGGGTTATTTATGTCATTCTGTATCACGTACAGATTGAGTCACCCTCTCCGGAATGTGAGGCGCCCTTCTCCCCCCTCTTCCCCACGCCCGTGGCGTCGCAGGAGGGAGGCCAAACCCGATTGCCCCACCGAAGTAACGGCATAGGTACAATTTCCCCCCCCCACCCCCCGAAAAAATTGGTGGAGCTCTTCGGCTCGGCTCAGGCGTTTCTCGGCTCAGGCGTTTCTCGGCTCAGGCGTTTCTCGGCTCAGGCGTTTCTCGGCTCAGGCGTTTCTCGGCTCAGGCGTTTCTCGGCTCAGGCGTTTCTCGGCTCAGGCCTTTCTCGGCTCGGACCCCGATTCATCCGACCAATCTTCGGCTCCGCTCGGATTCTAAAGGGGCCTTTTCAGAGGGGCCCAAACCGTCCGAGCTAGCCAAAAACCTAGCACTGGCCCTGCTGGGGAGGGGCCGAGCTAGAGCTGCCGAGAAATAAGGCAAGGCAGGTGGAAGAGGTTGTGCAACGGCTCCTGAGAGCTGCTGAGGGTGGGATGGCTACAGGGAGAATGGACGGCTGTCTGTGAGTCGTGGCTGACGAAGACACTAATCAACCAAGCATGGAGAATTCCTTCACAATCTAGGGCAACCCAGGCACGAATTAATGGGCGGCATACACACATGGGTCGAGCAGGGCAACGGGCTACCTGGATGTTTGGGTGGGGCGGCAGGGCGTTGGGTTGTCTGCAGAGGCACCTGACAGTGTGGCCTGCTGCGAGCAGCTGCTGCAGCAGATGAGAGCCCAAGAACCTGCACTAGGGGATGGGGGATCGGACATAAAGGCACGGACGGTGGAGGGCCAGGGAGAGAGGAAATAGGGGCAGGGGCGAGGGACACTGAGCGGTTGTCTGCAGAGGCACCGGGTCGGGTGGCCCGCTGCTAGCAGCGGGTGCAGCAGATGAGAGCGCTAGAAGCTGCACTAGGGGATGGGGGATGGGGGATAGACGACAGGGGCAGGAGGAAGTGTGGGCATTGGGTGATGCTGCGTGGATCAAGGGGGGATGAACACGGGAAGAGGAGCATTGAGCTGGCTGCACTGGCACCTGTGCAGGGGCATCTCCTGCAGCAGCTGCCAGCCGCGGGCCAGCGGGCATTGAGCTGGCTGCACTGGCACCGGGCAGTGTAGTTTTGAGGCGCCTCAAAACTAGACTCCTATCACGCGGTTTTTGAGGCGCCTCAAAACTAGGCACTGGGCAGTGTGGCCCGCTGCTAGCAGCTGCTGCAGCAGATGAGAGGCGAGGAATGAATCCGGGTATAGGATAGGAGCATGAGAGGGGGAGAGGGGGGTGGGCGATGGTGCGTGGGCAGAGAGTATGAACTCAAGCCATGCTATTATCATTTAAACATCTCAACAAACCCCCCCCCTCTCTCCCCCCCCCCCCCACCACCCAGCACCGCCTCCTCCTCCCTTCCCGTGCCTTGTTTGGCGCCAGTCGCGGCAAGAATCTGACCGCTATCCGTCAATTCCTATAAGTATCCCCACAAAAGTATTCAATTTACTCGATAGAACGAAAGAAAGCAGCGGCCCATTCCCCTCGCACCCTGTAAAGCAGCGGCCCAACATCTTTTGAGGCGCCTCAAAAGCAGATTATGGCACAACACCTGACTGCCAGCCGCAACAATGAAATGCAGCATCGTACTCGATATAAGGCACACCATCAAACGCTCGTTTACTCGTACCCTGTGTCGCCAGTCACGGCGAACACCTGACCGCTATCTTCAATATTGGATACCAGCATTGTACTCGATATAATAACGAGAGTAAACAGAACCGTTTTAGTACCCTGTAGCGCCAGTCACGGCGAACACCTGACTACCAGCCGCGCTGCCACCTGCCGCGTCGCTCGCGGCGGCTTTCACGCTCGTGTCACGGCCGCTCATGCTGCCACCGTCAGTGTCGCTACTCCGTGTGCTTTTCGTGGTAGCTCCCTGGTTGACGCCCGCGTTAGTAGCTGCTCCGTTAAACGGTGATCGAGCACCCGCGTCACTGTTGCTAACCCAGTGATTCTGCCTAGAGTCGGCGTGGACGCTACCTCTCCTTCTGCCACTTAAGGACGCGGTATTAGGAGCCGCGCTCTTGCTGCGGGTCAATCGACCAGCCTTGCTTTGCGGCGACTTAGAACTTAATCTACGGCCACGATTTGTGGTTGGCGAATTCCGCAGATTGGCCGCTACGAGTGTGGTCTCGCGCCGCGAGCATCGGTGACTGTAGCTGAGGGAGCCACAGACGAGGGGAGCATTGTGGGGAGCGAGTAACTGTGAGGACCAGGATGTGCTAGTAGCGGGGACCATGGTGGTACATTACCCCCTGAATGCTACTACAGCGGGGGAAGTCCGGGCCTGCCAGAGGCGAGTGACTATTTTGGAAGGCTCAAAAGAAATATGCCTGTAGCGAGGATTTGAATCTCGTTGGGAGGAAAATGGAGAGTCGAGGCTTGGATGAGCAAATTCGATCGATATTGCCTCATCCGCTATCCGTTACTATGAAAATCATTCGAGGTGCAACGGTGAGCACCTAATGGATGTCAGCCTGATAACATATCATTCACCTGCCCACGGTTTTCATCCCAGTGCTTTCACGGGTGTCTCAATATCGAGTACGATGTCCCGTGATTCAGAGCGGTTCAGTACGGTACTTGTAACATACAGCACGACTCTTGCTTTTCACCAATCAGGTTCTTGATTTTTGCTCTGAGCCTAATTACCTCTCCCTCCCTCATACAGGACATCTCTAGAGCCTGGCTTGCCTGCGTCTTCACGACCCCCCGCGCTGCCTTAGGGATACCGCGTACGCACCTTCGAGACTTGGTTCCTGGCAGTCTTCACGCCGTCAGTTCAGGCGACGCCGGCATCTAGGCGATCGTGCTCACGCCGTCAATTCGAGCGATCCTTAGGCATCCATCACACAATCCCGCGGCAATCCCTAGAAAACCTTGAGAAAGTCTCTTAGGCGATTTCACGGCGGCTTTTCCGGTTCTCCGCCAAGCAGCACGAGTCGAGCATTCGTGAGAGTTCTCCTAATCAGCACGAGTCGAGCTAGCCGGCAAAGCCTGCCTACCGCTAGCCCGCCATGCCGCAGCGGCACTCGCGCAACAGCAACGACCGCGCGCACTTCACGTACGAGGAGCGGCGGAAGCTTGGATTCGGCACGCAGAAGGAGCGCCTGGGGAAGGACTCCATCAAGCCCTTCGACTCCTGCTCGCTCTGCATTCAAGAGGCCGTCGACCCGCTCAGTTGCCGCAGCGGACACATCTTCTGCAAAGAGTGCATCTACAGCTGCCTTCTCGCTCAAAAAAAGGACATCAAGCGGTGAGTGTATTGAGTGTCTAGGGGAGGGAGCGACTAGAAGGAGTGGCTGGGGAAGGAAGGACTCCATCAAGCCGTTCGACTCCTGCTCGCTCTGCATCCACGAGGCCGTCGACCCGCTGAGCTGCCGCAGTGGACATATCTTTTGTAAAGAGTGCATCTACAGCTGCCTGCTCGCGCAAAAGGACATCAAACGGTGAGTGTACGCGGTGGTGAGCTGTATTCAGCGTCTAGGGGATTAAGGACGACTCGGGAAGGAAGCGCCTGGGCAAGGACTCCATGTTCAAGCCCTTCGACTCCTGCTCGCTCTGCATTCAGGAGGCCGTTGACCCTCTTAGTTGCCGCAGCGGGCACACCTTCTGCAAAGAGTGCATCTACAGCTGCCTGCTCGCGCAAAAAAAGGACATCAAACGGTGAGCGTTTGTTTCGAGCGGCTAGGGTTTGCCACGCATGAGGAGGCAGGGATTCGCCTTTCACGGATTCTCCTTCCAGGCTCCTCTAAAGCAGAAGGAGCGGCTGGGGAAAGAAGGACTCCATAAAGGCCCCCTCTTCCTCTTCCTCCTCCTCATCTTCCTCCTCATCTTCCTCCTCCGCATCTAATACTGCTGGAGCTGGAGCTGGTGCTGGTGCTGTTGATGATGGTATCCCCTCCCTTCCTCCACCCCCCCCTTTGCCGTTCCCCCCTCCTGCCCCCCTCTCAGCAAGCGGGCGGCGTGGGAGGCGCAGCAGCGGCAGGAGCAGGAGGAAGAGGGCGAGCGAGCGGCAGCGGAGCGAGCGAGAGAGCTGGATACCTTCGACCGGCAGAACCACGCAGCTCTGGCCCCCTCTGCTGGTGGCGGTGGTGGTGGTGGTAGTGCTGTTAGTGCTGCTGCTGCTGGTAGTGCTGATGCCCCATCTGCCCTTAAACGCCTCCGTGCGACGCCCCCCGGTGCTGCTGCTACTCCCGGCGCCATTGTCGCTGCTGGTGCTGCAGCTACTCCTGCTGCTGCTGGCGGGGAAGCGCCTTCGCTTGCTGGGCCAGGATCAGCCTCGGGCGGTGCGAGCGGCCGCATGAATTTCCAAGGAGCGAATTCTGTGAAAACAACAGCTTTTGAAGAGGAAGCAGTGAGAACCATGCGGGCCTACTGGCTGCCTTCGGCCACTCCTGGCGCTCCGAAAAAAGTAGACCCCCCTCCCACAGACACCACCTGCCCGGAAGGCTGTGGGAAGCTTCGTCTGAAGGACCTTTTCCCGATAGTTTTTACCAAGCTGCCGCCGCCGGACCAGCCGCTTGGGTTCGACGGAGGCTCGGGAGGAGGTTCGGGGGGTGGTTCGGCGAAGCAGGTTACCACATCGGCTGCGGTGAGCAACGGTGCGGCGCGGTACATGTGCCCCGCGTGCTCAACCACTCTCACGAACGCATCGAAGCTCTCGGCTATAGCAGCATGCGGGCACGTGCTTTGCCGACGGTGCATCGAGAAATTTGTTTCGGCGGACTGGGCGTGCACTGTGTGCGGCGCTGCCGTGGACGGTGATGGTGCTGCTGGTGCTGCTGGGGGTGCGGGTACGAAAGGAGAGAGAAGGGGGTTGGTGCAGCTGGCGTGTGGGGGCACGGGGTATGCAGGCCACGGGGATGGGCTGGTGGCCAAGGCCTTCAAGCCTTTGGGGAGTGGCCCGGCTGCCGGCCCCCCCATCAAGCCAACGCGCCTGCTGTGACTGGAGGAATGGTGAAAGGAGAAGGCTGGGGAATGGGAGAGGAGGAGAAGGGAGGGGAATGGGAGAGGAGGAGAAGGGAGGGGAATGGGAGAGGAGGAGAAGGGAGGGGAATGGGAGAGGAGGAGAAGGCTGGGGAATGGGAGAGGAGGAGAAGGGAGGGGAATGGGAGAGGAGGAGAAGGGAGGGGAATGGGAGAGGAGGAGAAGGGAGGGGAATGGGAGAGGAGGAGAAGGGAGGGGAATGGGAGAGGAGGAGAAGGGAGGGGAATGGGAGAGGAGGAGAAGGGAGGGGAATGGGAGAGGAGGAGAAGGGAGGGGAATGGGAGAGGAGGAGAAGGGAGGGGAATGGGAGAGGAGGAGAAGGGAGGGGAATGGGAGAGGAGGAGAAGGGAGGGGAATGGGAGAGGAGGAGAAGGGAGGGGAATGGGAGAGGAGGAGAAGGGAGGGGAATGGGAGAGGAGGAGAAGGGAGGGGAATGGGAGAGGAGGAGAAGGGAGGGGAATGGGAGAGGAGGAGAAGGGAGGGGAATGGGAGAGGAGGAGAAGGGAGGGGAATGGGAGAGGAGGAGAAGGGAGGGGAATGGGAGAGGAGGAGAAGGGAGGGGAATGGGAGAGGAGGAGAAGGGAGGGGAATGGGAGAGGAGGAGAAGGGAGGGGAATGGGAGAGGAGGAGAAGGGAGGGGAATGGGAGAGGAGGAGAAGGGAGGGGAATGGGAGAGGAGGAGAAGGGAGGGGAATGGGAGAGGAGGAGAAGGGAGGGGAATGGGAGAGGAGGAGAAGGGAGGGGAATGGGAGAGGAGGAGAAGGGAGGGGAATGGGAGAGGAGGAGAAGGGAGGGGAATGGGAGAGGAGGAGAAGGGAGGGGAATGGGAGAGGAGGAGAAGGGAGGGGAATGGGAGAGGAGGAGAAGGGAGGGGAATGGGAGAGGAGGAGAAGGGAGGGGAATGGGAGAGGAGGAGAAGGGAGGGGAATGGGAGAGGAGGAGAAGGGAGGGGAATGGGAGAGGAGGAGAAGGGAGGGGAATGGGAGAGGAGGAGAAGGGAGGGGAATGGGAGAGGAGGAGAAGGGAGGGGAATGGGAGAGGAGGAGAAGGGAGGGGAATGGGAGAGGAGGAGATGGAGGGGAGATGGAAGGAGAGGAGAGGGGAGAGAGAAGGAGAAGGGAGGGGGGAGGAGGGGGCAGCTGGCGTGTGGGGGCACAGGGTGTGCAGGGCACGGGGATGGGCTGGTTGCCAACGCGTTCAAGCCCCTTGGGAGTGGTCTTGCTGACGCCCCCCCATCAAGTCAACGTGCCTGCTGTGATTGGTCAACGCCAGTGGTCCTCCTCTAATTGGCCGGCAGACTCTGATTGGTTGGCTGGCAGTTGATTGGAAGGCTTGCTTTTGAGAGAGTCAGGAGGTTGGTCCTCCCAGAAAATACCGGTACAGGTGGTTGGTGCGTTTACTTAGTGATTGTTTAAAACTCTCTTGCTCTACGTATGCTTGCGTTGCGTACCATACTTCAAAAACCTCTAGGAGCGCTGTGGCCGTTAGTGACTAAGTCCACACCATTCTGTGGGGTGTGTTGAGTTGTGCTCTGAACTGAACCCGACATGGGGGAACCGCGGTGCTTCTGTGCAATGTGCACTGTGCACTGTTGTGCAATGGTGGGATGGTGGGATGGGATGGTGGGAAGGTGGGATGGTGGGATGGTGGTGCTCATTAGATTCCCCCATGTGAGTCCAGGGGGACACTCTTCCCTGTGCCATGTCTTGTGCTGTGCTGTTGTGCACAGGGAAGGAGTGCCTAGTGTCTTGGTCAACCACACACACAAGAAGCTTGGAAAGTTTTGCAGGGATAGTAAAAGTTAGTCATCTCGTCTCCTTTTAATATAGCAACTGTACAGTCAATCAGTGTCAAAATTGGAATGGTGATGCTGGCCATTACCCCAGTAAGGGCTTGCTGCCAGTGATTCTAATGAAGGGTTCCCAACCTAGGGAAACCCCCCCTGCTGTTGTCACTTTCAATCTGTACAAACCACTCCGATAGTGGCTGCAGGGGCGATGCTAACCCTAATCGGCTTACGCCCTAAGGTCTTCTAAACCCTGAAGGTAGCGGGGTCACGCGAATCCCGCACTCGATTTGAGGGGGTGACTCAGCAGTGTAGTTAGGGTTTCTAGGTGTCTACAACGGGTCGCAACGCGAGGACGACGATCCAATCAGCAGCAACGGGGCACAGAACGGACTTGGGCCACTGAAACGACTGCTTCTGCTCCGCTGCGTCGCGCGCGCGCTTGCACACTGCCACGTCATCAGCATCGTCGGAATATTCCTCGCCGCTGCAGGCGCGCTTTCGCTTAGGCGAAGCGCCCTTTCCGCCCGCTGCTGTCACATGCGCAATCGAATCACATTCGGAGTCGGAATCGAGGCCAAACTCGAACGGGGAAGTCGGGGAGCGGGGAGTGGCGCAAACGAGCGCCGCTTTCCGCGCACCCTCTTCCGCAGCCTTCTCCGCTTCCCCCTCTTCCCCCTCCGCGACCTCCGCGAGGAACGGGTGCGCCAGCAGCTCCGCCGCCGTCCAGCGCTCCGCGGGATTTCTCCGCAGGCAGCACCCAATAAACCCGCGCACCGCCGCCGGAACCTCCGCCGCAATCCGCGGCATCTCCTCGGTGCACGACACAGCGTAAAGCACGGAGAACATGCCGCCTGTCACGTCGCTCCACGCGGGCCGCCCGGTCGCCATTTCGAGAACCGTGCATCCCAGAGACCAGATATCGACGGCGCAGCTCTGTTGCTCCCCGCGCCCGACCTCCGGTGCCATCCAGTTAGCTGTCCCGCGCAGCCCGTGGGTTGCGCCACTGGCGGCGGCGGCGGCCGCGGACCAAATCGCGACTCCGCCCGCGCTGACCCCCGCCCCGGAGGCGGCGGCGGTGGTGGCGGCGGTGCTGCCGACGCGGAAGGCGGCGCCGAAATCGGCGATTTTGACGTGGCCGTCGCTGGTGAGGAGGAGATTAAGGCTCTTAATATCTCCGTGAACGACGCTCCGCTCGTGGAGGTAGCCGAGCCCCTTAACGACGTCCTTAGTGAACCTCTTAAGAGTCAACGCGTCGAGTCCGCGGCAGCGCCCCGAGGAGGATCTTAGAAGCCCCGCGACGGAGCCGCCCGCGGCGTACTCTAAGTACATGTTCCGAACCTTCGCGTCGGCTTCCTGTGACCAATCCGCGCCGCGAAAGCCGACGATTTGCGGGCAGTCCAGGGTGGAAAGGATAGAGATTTCGTTTTCCAGAGCTTCGACTGCGCCGTTGTTGTTGCTCAGGCGCTCTTGTCGCTGGGGCGACGCCGGCGACGCATGTGACGTGCGATCGGCGGGCTGCGACGATGCGGACTTCACTGCGAAAAAATCGCCGGACGCGTTGTCGACTGCGATGTGCACGCGACCGAACGAGCCCGACCCGAGCAGGCGACCTCGCTTCCAATCTGCGGGAGTAGCGGAATAAGTGTGCTCCATAGCCATGTCTGTTAGGAAATAAATTGACTAGCTCTCGAGAATGCTAGGCCTGTTATAGACTGCGTTCGCAACTCAGACCAGCTTGGGGGTGTGCTGGAATGAGCTGGTTTGAACTTTCAGCTCAGCTTTACCACTACATAAGAGGGGGAGGTCGAGGAGTTTCGAGTTACGGTCCAGAGCGGGTTTCGCATCTGGTACGTGCGATCCGCTTTGCTTTATGCCATCTGAGCATGAGGGAGGGAGGGAAACCAGAGGGGGAACGTTCGGTGATTCCCATTGGCGGAGCAACTGGCATCACTCGCGCGGGAGGGGAAATGCACTTGGCAGTGGGGTGGGCTTTTGCCATTCCCCTAGATGTCGGGGCATATGGAGGGAAGTGGAATGGGATTCGCTTCGCGTTGCTGCTGGCAACATGGGCAGAACAGCACCCGCTGCTGCTGCCTGGCTGGCAGCATATGCACAGATTTGCGGCGTCCATTTGCTGTAGCATCTTGCCCGATAAAGGATAGCGCGATCCGGGATTCGGGCGGCTCGCTGCAAAAGTACAAAACTGAATTGCGCCACTGATGGATCGTGCAGCGTGGGAGCGGGAGGAGGGGCGAGGGAGAGGCTGGCCTGGCCAGACGAGGGAGAGAGGGCAGGGAGGGGAGGGGTCACGGACCACGGGAGCGACGGTGGGGTGTGGGGGAGGAGGGCGGAGGGAGGGGGGAGGTTGAGGGCGGAAGGGAGCGAGGGGGAGACCAGGATTGAGAAACGGGGCTATGCGACACGGACGACGGTGTTGTGCGGTTGAGCACTGCCAGCCATCTGCTTGGTGCTCAATTCATCGACGTGTTGTAAGTGTGCCACGTGGAAGCGTAAACCATGGCGAACCAGGAATTTGGTTGGGAACTTAGCCAAGAATTTGGCGTGTAGTGTTTCCGTTCAGGTTCGGTTCTGTCCCTAACCGAATGGCATTGATTTCCTGGTTCTTTGTGTTGACGCGGCATGCGATCCAATAATGACCGACTCTTCGAATCGCAGCGCGTTCCTCGCCACATGGACTCGTGTCACACAGGATCCAGGGGTGGCACATGCGAAGAACGACGCCCCTTAGGACCGAAGCTGGGTGAGAAGCTTCCTCATAAACTCGTCACATGTGCCCATCCAGCGACACGGCGCCTGCATTGCCGGGCGAACCACACAATTCCCCGATCACCCTAGAAATTCGCAGCGGTTTCTTGGTCTGAGTCAGAGCGTGCGCCCAAAATTTTGGAGCTTCGAACAGCCGATGGGCTTGAGTATTGCAACAGTGCACTGGTGGTTTGAACTTTTGAGGGTTCGGTTTATGAAGTGAATGGCGAGGGATCGCTAACACCACCAGCACAGATGCGTTGGCGCGTCTATAAATGTTTCAAGCTTTGCTGGCCCGAAGCAAAGCAGCACATCAGGGGACAATCCTTGTGCGTGCAGGGATGCTGACGCTATAGATTTTTTTTGCGACGCGCCAGAATTGATTGGCTGTTCAAGTGAAGGGAGGGCCTGCCATAAAATCCACGTGGATCATGCAGCACTGCGCAATGGTGATGCAGAATGGATAGCCATGTCGTACCGTACCGTACTGCACAACGTCCCATACCGGGTCGCAAAACCTTTGGTCATGGTTCGGGCGTGCAGCAGCAACCTATTGTCTGGGCAGGTACGGTTCGGTGCTCGGCTCGTAAGAACCTCTTCCAGGGGGGTGCCCCAAGACCACGTTTGATTGCGGTTGGGTAAGATGCTCAAGGATTCAGCAGGTTCGAATAGCGATGTGAAACGATTGGTTAGGGTTCAAGCGCGAAAATGCACGCTTAGCCAGCCTCTGGTCTGGCATGGTCTGGTCTGGTCTGATGCTGGTCATTGCGATTTGCCACGGACGTAAGGACGTCAGTACAGCGACGATGCTTGAATTCTGTTCCGCCGTGCCTCACATCACATCGGATCACGTCGTGTGAGGTCGAGGAAGGCAAGCCATCCAGGAGATACTTCAGGCGTCCACCCAGAGACACCAGCGTGGTCCCCCTGGATGGATCCTGCTGTCCATTCGCTGCGGGCGCCCTGGTGACTGACTGCTCCACAGAATCCACGCACAACCTTCCAAGTCACGTGTGAGATTTTTCGCGCTGCTTTGTTGGGTCAAGTTTATCCAATCCGCTCGGCACGCTGTACATACTCGTTGAAATCCAACTCGTCACTTCGACAGCCTCGGTGCACCCGATCTGTTGTGCTCTCATGTATGCGAAACTAGATCATGTACCACTCCTATATTTTCTTCTTATTCTATAACTGGTAGGGAGACAAGAATCAAGAATACTCTAATACTAGTATGGTGCGCTAATAGGAGAGCATAAATGAATGGAATAAAGCCTTGCGAGTGCCCCCATCCCCCCCTGGAAGTTTGTCAAGTATGTCTTTGAAATTCCTTAGAAACCAACTCTTTTCCAGCAGAGGCAGTGCTATCAGTTAAACCTCCACCAGCAAAAGAACCTCCAGTCTCCTCCCCACCGGCCCCTCCCAGAGGCCTTGTAGCGGCTGAAGCTACACCGAGAGGCGGGTCAAGGAGGGAAGAGGAAGTCAGAAAGACTCTGATTGCAACAGCTAGTGACTTGTGGAATTTCCCCCACCTCCAGCAGCAGCAGAAGTCAGAGACGGCGAACCCCCACCAAACTCCGCACCAGCAGTACCAGCAGCACCAGCAGCACCAGCGGCACCAGCAGCAGAGGAGGACGCAGCAGTGCTTGCAGTAACCCCTTCACCAGCAGAGGCTCCCCCAATCTCCCCCCCAACAGCCCCTCCCAGAGGCCTCTTAGCGGCCGAAGAGCCAAAGAGAAGAGGGCCGATGAGGGAAGAGGCGTTCACCCTAATGACTTGTGGAATTTCCTGAGTTTCCCGCACCACCAGCAGCAGCAGTAGCCAGAAACGGCGAGCCCACCCCAAAACCCGCACCACCACCACCAGCAGTACCAGCAGCAGCAGTGCTTGCAGTCGAGCCTTCACCAGCAGAGGCTCCCCCAATCCTCCCCCCACTAGACCCTCCTAGAGGCCTCTTAGCCGCCGCAGCGCCAAAGAGGAGAGGGTCAATGAGGGAAGAGGCAGTCTGGAAGACGAGCATATCTCCGAGGATGTAGGCTGGCGGGGGGGGGAGGGAGGGGGAGGAAGGGACAAGGCGGTTATGGTTTCTATGCACAGTGCAGCGGGTGCAGCACCAAAGAGGAGAGGGTTGATGAGGGAAGAGGTAGTCTGGAAGACGATCCTATCACCCATGATGTAGGCTGGTGGAGGTGAGGGCAGGTGCGAGAGGCAGGGGGGTTGGGGAAAAGGTGAGACAGACAGACAGATAGCAGAGGACGAGGGTCGATGAGGGAAGAGGCAGTCTGGACGACGAGCACATCGCCTGGGATGTAGGCTCGTGGGACATGGCGGTGAGGGAGGGGGGAAGACACTTGAGGCACAACAAACAGCAGCTGACACAAGGGAACAGCTGACGCAAGGCAGCAGCTCACACAAGGCAGCAGCTCACGATAGCTTGTAGTCCAGGGCCCCACATACCACACACGGGCAGGCAGCAGAGCACCAGACCCAGTCGGAAGCGTTTGCTTACCAGCCACAGGCGTACAACAAAAACATTGGTATTCAGAGAAAGCCACATAAGCCAAAGAGCAGCCTACCAGAGCTTGTAGTCCAGGGCCCCATGTAACGCACACAGGGGGCAGAGAGGAGAGCTCCAGACCAGACACAGTCGCGAATGCTTACCATGCATGCGTGCCATGTATGCTCACCATAGCATGTTGTCCACGGCCTCACGCATCGAATACAGGGGGCAGAGAGGAGAGCTCCAGACACAGTCGAGAGCGTCAGCTTGATAGAGGTGCCGAGCTTTCGCTTTATCGGCCACTAGCTTACCGTAGCTTGTGGTCCATGGTCCCACGTATCGCATACACACAGCTGATAGCAGAACCCCCCCCGGACACAGTCGAGAGAACCTAGTTTAACTCGAACACATGCGCATGCAGTGAGCTCACCATAGCTGGTTGTCCATGGTCCCACGTATCGCACACACACAGCAGAGAGAAGAGCCCCAGACACAGTCGAGAGCGTGAGCTTGATAGAGTAGCCGAGCGTTCGCTTCACAAGCCACACGATCTGCACTCCTGTGGCTTTCACAGGGCTTATAACGAGCCCCTGGCCAGCTTGTAACGAGGACGAAGGCGGTGGTGGTGGTGGGAAGAGCAGGCGGGTGACTGCAGTGAAGGAATCCGTTATAAGCTGCACTGCTACACTGGATAGTGGGCTCAGGAAGTGGGCTGGAGGGAAGGGGCGATGGGAGAGGGACAGGGAGACAGAAGGAAGGACGCCCGTTATAAGCTGCACTGCTACACTGGATAGTCGGCTCAGGAAGTGGAGTGGGGGAGGGGAGGGGAGGCGATGGAGGGACGAGGGCGAGGGAGGGAGGAGGGCGAGGGAGGGAGGAAAAGAGAAAACTACTCATTAGGTGAATGATCAGGCGAAGCAAACTGCACGGCAACACTGGGTAATGGGGACAGGAAGAGGGCTGGTGGGGAGTGAAGGAAGGAGGAGCGAACGGGGAGAAGAGGAGGGAGGAGAGGAGGCAGGGGGGGAGAAAGGGAGAAGAGACAGGGAAATAGATGGCTTTTTTTGAAGCGCCTCAAAAAGAGACTCCTCACGACAGGGGAATAGATGGCCTCTACAATGGTACAAACTTCACTGGTACAAAGGGATACATTGACTTGTGCTAACTACAAGAAAAAGGAGGGGGGAGGGATCGTACCTCTGACGTTCGTGACTGTAACGGATGTGATTAAACGGGTGCCTGCGACTCCCCTGGTAACCTTGCGAGTGGCTGACTGGGTGGGGTCTGGAGAGAGAAAGGGGCGTTGGAGAGGCGAGAGATTAACCTTGGGAAAGGCAGAGAGATGACGTGCCTGCGAATAAAGGCGCGTTGGATTGGCGAGAGATGTGGTGATTAAAGAGCCGGCGAATTCTTTGGTGATTAAAGTGCCGGTGAGTCCCCCCGGTGATTAAAGTGCCGGTGAGTCCCCCCGGTGATTAAAGTGCCGGTGAATCCCCTGGTGATTCTTTAGAATTCTCAACACGAAGGGGCGTTGGAGAGGCAAGAGATGTGGTGATTAAAGTGCCCGTGAATCCTCCCCTGGCAACCTTGCGAAAGGCAAAGCAGATGGGTTGGGGAGAGGCGCGAGGGATTGCTAGGTAAAGTGTGAGATGGGAAGGGAAGAGATGGGAAGATATGGCTGAAGCGGAAATGAAAAAAACGGGGGCAAAGGGGGGCGGGGGGAGGGAGAAGAGCAGGGTGTTTTTGAGAATTCTCAAAAACACCCTGCAAGAGCAAGGAAACTTTTGAGTCGACTCAAAAGTCACCTCAAAAACACCCAGCAAAAGCAAGAAAAAGAGTGAGCCGGGTGAGGGAACAGACGCACTCTATTCCCCTCCCCGCGATTACCCCTCTCCCCTCTATTACCCCCCTCCCCTCAATTAACCCCCTCCCCTCTATTACCCCCCTCCCTGAGTCGTCCCCCCCTCGTCCTCTCTCTCCCCATTTCCCCCAAGAAACACAACTGACCTTTAGTGAGATTCCAGAGCCAGCGGACTGAGACAGAGGGAACCAGATAAAAGTGCCCCCTTCTCTCGTAAGGGCACCTTGAAGGTCTGGAGTACCCTCGTTCACCCTTCTCCCCTCGCTCCCTTCAAGCATGTGTTCTGTTCTTGAGAATTCTTTAAGGTATTAAGTACCGGGCCCGGGCCGATCGACCGAACCCATCCGGATCCAACCCCATCTGGAAACAAAGCACATCCTTGACGGTCTGAAGTGCCCTCGTTCACCCTTCTCCCCTCGCTCCCATGGAAGCAACCGACCGTTAGTGAGCTTCGTGCCTCCCTCCCCCCCCTTAGCACAGCTGACCTTTGGTAAGCTCCGTGCCTCGCTTCCCCCCCCCTAGAACAGCTCCTTTGGTGAGCTTCCAGAGCCAGCGGGCAGAGATGGAGGGAACCAGATAAGAAGGGCGCCTCTCTTCTTTGGTAAGCTGACCTTTGGTAAGCTCCGTGCCTCCCTTCCCCCCCCTAGAACAACCGACCTTTAGTGAGCTTCCAGAGCCAGCGGGCAGAGACGGAGGGAACCAGATAAGAAGAGCGCCTCTCTTCTTTGGTAAGCTGACCTTTGGTAAGCTCCGTGCCTCACTTCCCCCCCCTTAGAACAACTGACCTTTAGTGAGCTTCCAGAGCCAGCGGACAGAGACAGAGGGAACCAGATAAAAGTGCTCCAAGGCTCTGCGCACTGTGATGACTGCCATCTGATGGGGGGAGAGGGAGGGGGGAGAAGGAAACGGGGCGAGAAGGGAAGAGGGGGGGTTGGGGAGACGGTTCCTGAATTATCTGGGTAGAAGACTAGAAGTGCTCCAGCGCTCTGCGCACTGCGATGACTGCCATCTGATGGGGGGAGAGGGAGGGGGGCGAAGGAAACGGGGCGTGCAGGGAAGAGGGGGGGGGTGGGGGGACGGTTCTTGAATCATCCGGATAAAAGTGCTCCAGCCAGCGCTCTGCGCACTGCAATGACTGCCATCTGAGGGGGGCGAGGGACAGGAGGAAAGGGGGGGGGAAGAGAGTGGACGAAAGGGCATGTGTGACGACAAGGATGTGCGAGGGACTGTGCTTGTTAGATAGAAGTGCTCCAAGGCTCTGCGCACTGCGATGACTGCCATCTGATAGGGAGAAGGGAGGGGGAGAGGGAGGAAGGGGGGGGGGGATGTGAGGGGGAAGGGAGGGGGATCGCACGCACGCATTCGGTCATTCGTATGAGGTTATAGACATGCATGACATGGCACGACATGGTATGACATGGCACGACATGGTATGACATGGCACGACATGGTATGGCATGGCGCAACATGGTATGGCATGGTGCGAAATGGTATGGCATGGTGCGACATGGTATGGCGCCACATGGTATGGCATGGTGGGACATGGTATGGCATGGTGCAACATGGTATGGCACAACATGGTATGGCATGGTGCGATATGGTATGGTGCGCGACATGGTATGGCGCGTCATGGTATGGCATGGTGCGACATGGTATGGCATGGCGCGACATGGTATGGCATGGTGCGACATGGTATGGCATGTTTCGACATGGTATGGCATGGTTCGACATGGTATGGTTCAGCCATCTCTTACCAGGCAGCAGCTTTCCAGCGTACCTCCCTCAGAGACAGCCACAGTGCGCCTGCAGCAACCTTGCCAGCATCTATATGTTCCGAAATGCCGCTATCTTCCTCTCCCTCTCACTCACTCACTCACTCACACGCACACGCTTTTCCCATCAAGCATCCAGCCCCACGTACCTCCCTCAGCGACAGCCACAGTGTGCCTGCAGCAACCTTTCCAGCATCCATGCTCCGAAACGCTGCTATCTTCCTCTCCCTCTCCGCTGCCTCAACCTCCCTCCGCCTCTCCCTCTCCCTCCTTGCCTCCCTTCTCGCTACAAGTTCCCCATACGCCCCCTCCACCCCACCCCCACTTTGACCATATTCAAACGCTTCCTCCTCCTCCTCCTCATCCTCCTCTTCTAAACTGGGAGCCTGAGCCTCTAGGTAATCCGCAAAGAGGGGGAGGATCTGGATAAGGCTGTTTCGCACAGCCATTATCAGCATGCCACGTGGACAGAAGGCGGAGTAGAGGGATCTCAGCTTCACGGTATACACCTTCCCATTCACTCGTTCTGTGATGACGTTAGCTGCTTTGCTGACGTCAGCACGAGATTTACCATCGTCATCATCAGAACCCTCCCCTTCCTTCCCGTTGCTCCGCTCCTTTGGAAGACCTCTTTCCGAGCCTGTCCGCAAGGCTTGGTAAGCCCGTGGCTGGAAGGATTGGTCCGAGGCTGTTTCGGCTCGGCAGTGGGCGACGGGGAGGAGATGCGAGAGGAAGGGTGAGGGGGATGAGGAGGAGGAGTGGGATGAGTGGGAGGCGAGGAGAGAGGGGCGAGTTATGAGGGGGAGGACGGAGTGGGAAAGAATGGAGAGGGGATCGCTGCTGCTGATGCGGGTGTTGCAGCTGAGGCTGCTGCTGCTGCTGCTGATGGTGGTGGTTGGGAAGAGGTTGGAGTGTAGGCGACCTGAGAGAACAGCAGACCTGCATCGGATCGCAAGAGAAACGAAAAAAGAAGTTGACTTCACGTTGATTTCAACGAGGGCCATTTTCCTTACGGCCCACGGAACAGGTGCATACGTGAAGGTTAAACAAGTAGTAGGGAAAAAAGTGTTCATACCGGAGAAAGACCAGACTGCTTGACCAGACCTGAAAGTAGAAGCATGGGTGCTGACACCCGCGAAGTAAGAATTCGCTTAGAGAGAGGCGAAGAGAGTGGGCGCGTGAGCAGATCAAGGCGCGTGAACAGATCAAGGCGCGTGAACAGATCAAGGCGCGTGAACAGATCAAGGGGGCGTGAACAGACCTGAAAGTAGAGCCGTGGATGTTGACACCTGTGAAGTAAGAATTCGCCGCGAATCCGTGATTCCTGCCTTTGATCGGGCCAACAGACGCCATTTTACAGTCTAAGGTCTCGCGGATTCACGGAGAAACTATCGAACTATAAAGGATCCAGAATTATAAAAAAAACTCCTCCCAATTGCGTCTTGTCACCTTGCTGCTGGCCTACGCATGTCAACCTTTTCGCGCCATGCAAAATCGTGACCGTTGATCAGCAGGTCTTCAGCAATCTCAAGAGATCGCAGGCGTTTGTGGGTAATCGCAGGTCAGCACGGACAACATAGAATGGGTAATAATTGAATCACCCTAAGAAGTGAACGTCGTGAAAGTTTGAGCGAAAGAGGAAAGAGAAAGGGAGACGATTTATCTACGCGACCTGCTCCTCTGACAGCACCTAGCTTTCAGTTGAGGTATGGTGGACTACTGTGGAGTTCCCAGGACACTTCATGGGATCCTTGGTTTGGGGCGGCGTTTCAAAGCAGGATTTGGAATCTCGAGGTTTAACCCGGGGTTACCACGTAGCATGTTGGATCAACTTCGGGCTGTCTTGGTGGGTCACCCTGGGTCCAGGGTTTCCTAACGCGAAACCTCCGATTTCGTGTAGCTTCGTTGCCCTAGTTTCGAGCATTTTCGTGTGGCCTCGCAGGGGTAATCGCAGGGCAGATTCCGCAGCGAGTGTCAGACCCGAGGCTGACCCGCGGCTCAAGGAGCCGCGGGCTGTCACAACCTAACTGCAGGTTTAATATTCGCGAACCGTCGTAAGAGGAGGGCTGCGACAATACAGGCCGAACTTTGAGAGTCCACCAAAAATCTGCGAAGTTATGATTGGTGGAAATCGATTTGCACGATATTGTAAGTTGTTCGGTTTGACAGCTGACTGGCGGAAGCCGTCATTTTTTCGCAAGACCCGAGGCAATTTTTTTCCAGTCTCGGATCTTCGCTAAACCCTCGGGTCTAACACTCGCTGCAGAATCGGCCCTAAATGGTTCGAGAAACTTTTGGAGAACATTGGGTGTTACACGAGAAATGATTTTTTTTTTAAGGAATTATTTGTGCTCATGAGGGTTCGTTTTCGTCGCACTGATCGCGTTTCGTGGAGAGATTTGACTGCCAAGAGGGTTACACCTAGTCCAAACAAAATGGCAAACCAGCCCCGATTCTTTCAGAACTTGCACTCTGGTAAACACGGGAAGTATCGTGTCAAAAGCACCCAACCTCGAGAGTTCAATGGCCACACTCCTCGAATGATCCTTGGGCAAAACTGCTCCTGCTGTCATCCACTCCCCTCATCCGAGCCAAATCTAGGCTTTCCCGCCAAATTTCTGACAGCCAAGGCAACTCCTCCCTCCTCCCCATTGCGTTGGGAATTCCGTCCAGCTGGCTGGGACCAACTCTCTGGTACACCCCTAGTCCTGGGACCATCCATCCAAACCAATCTCCGTGGCATTGTCAAATTCCTAGCAGACATCATTCATAAAACTTTGTTCCAGCAGACAACGTTCAGCAGACACCTCCGCCGTCTGGTTACAATTTCGAGGAAGTCACTCCGCATTGTTTTCCCTAGCGTTCGTAACATCTGGAAGCAGATTCGGCATTCGTCCTCGCGTAGAAATGGCGGACGAAGGCAAGGTGATGGCGAAGGTGATCGACGGCAAGGCCATCTCGCAGCAGATCCATGGCGAGGTGGCCGCTGGGGTGACGAAGCTAAAAGAGGCCACTGGAAAAGTGAGTGTTGCGGGGATTCTACTCTCACATTATGACTGCGATACTGATCGACGGCAAGGCCATCTCGCAGCAGATCCATGGCGAGATGGTTGCTAGGGTAACCATACTCAAAGAGGCCACTGGGAAAACGAGCGCGTTCAGCCTCACTCCGTGACTAAAGTATTGATCGATGGCAATGCAATCGCACAGCAGACTTATGGCAAGGTTTCTGCGAAGGTGACCAAACTAAAAGAGGCCACTGGGAAGGAGAGGACATTTTTTATACCGACTGGACATTTTTTATTTGGGCTCGTCGCAGCCATGAAGCCGTAATGTGGGCAAGCTTTTAGCGGATTTGAGGGCGAAGGTTGAGCCGAAGCTGGATCCATGGCTTGGCGGCTGCTGACGTCACTTTATTGAAGCAGGATGCGGGAAAGGACTTGCACGTCTTCGTTCCGCCTCCCGCTTCACCTCCCGTTTCACCTCCCGTTCCACCTCCCGTTTCACCTCCCGTTCCACCTCCCGTTTCACCTCCCGTTCCACCTCCCGTTTCACCTCCCGTTTCACCTCCCGTTTCACCTCCCGTCCCACCTCCCGTCCCACCTCCCGTCCCACCTCCCGTTCCACCTCCCGTTCCACCTCCCGTTCCACCTCCGTATTTTGATTCGCAAGTTCGTGTTCCGCCCAGTCCCCTCTGCAGGTGCCCGGACTAGCAGTCATCATAGTGAGAGAGCGCAAAGACTCGCAGATGTACGTGCGAATGAAGGGCAAGGCGTGCCAGGAGGTCACGGCATGACGCTTCTACACCCAATCTTTTTCTTATTCCTCTGCAGGTGCCCGGACTAGCAGTCATTATAGTGGGCGAGTGCAAGGACTCGCAGGCGTACGTGCGGATGAAGGTGAAGGCATGCCAGGAGCCCGAGACTGCCTTCTGACAGAGGGCGTGCCAGGAGCTAACACCACAGCCATTGTGCTGGTCCCTGGTCCTATTCCCTCGGTGCTGGTCCCTGGTCCCCACAGGTGCCCGGACTAGCAGTCATCATAGTGGGTGAGCGCAAGGACTCGCAGACTTATGTGCGAATGAAGGTCAAGGCGTGCCAGGAGGTGGGGATTGCCTCGTTCGAGGGGAAGCTTCCTGGCGACGCCAGCCAGGATGACGTCATTGCAGCAGTCAGGGAGTTCAACGCCAACCCTGACGTGCACGGTGAGCTGCTGACGTGCATGGTGAGCTGCTGACGTGGCTGCTGACGTGGCTGGTGCGGATGCTGATGTGGATATGTTATTAAGTGAATCTGCACATGCTCAGCTCTGTACTCATACATGCTCTGTATGTGGCATATGCATCCTGGCTCATGCTGGCTCGCCTTGTTGCATATCACCCCCTGCCCCACGCCCCCTTCACCCTCTCCCTCGCACCAGGCATCTTGGTTCAGCTGCCCCTTCCTGCTCATATCAGCGAGGAGGCAGTGCTGGCTGAGGCACTGCCACTGGTTTCCCTGCCCCTTATCCGCTGCTCTTCTGCCTGTGCCCGTCTCATCGCTCACGTATTGCCTCTCACCAGGCATCCTGGTTCAGCTGCCCCTGCCGGCTCATATCAGCGAGGAGGCAGTGCTTGCTGAGGTGGCGCTGCCCAAGGACGTGGACGGCTTCCATCCAATCAACATCGGACAGCTGGCGATGAAGGGGCGGCACCCACAGTTTGCCCCGTGCACCCCCGAGGTAGGAAAAAAGGGTTGGGGGAAGGAAGGGGGGTGGAGGGGAATTGAGAGCGGTGGATTGTAAGCTTCGACAAAAGGGGCTGGGAAAGGGAGGGATGAAGGGGGGCGGGGGAGGGGGGGCGGGGGACGGGGGACGGGGGACGGGGGATGGGTTGGTTGTGGGGGACTGCAAGGATGGTCTAGGGAGTTCCACACCTGACTATTCACAAGGAGTTCACGGTGCAAACAGCACCTGCAGTTTGCACCGTGAAATGATGAGGTGTGGAGTGGAATGGGGTTTTGGGGGGGGTGCGGGGAGGAAGGAGGGACAGAGAGGGGGGGAAGGGGAGAGGAGGGGAAGGGGAGAGGAGGGGAAAGGGGAGAGGAGGGGAAGGGGAGAGGAGGGGAAAGGGGAGAGGAGGGGAAGGGGAGAGGAGGGGAAAGGGGAGAGGAGGGGAAGGGGGAGAGGAGGGGAAGGGGGGAAAGGGAGCGGGGGAAAGGGAGCGGGGCCAGGAGGTTTTACTAGAGGAACGGCACCTGTCGTGTTCTCCGTTGGTTCCTGATTGGGCTGTGGCGGTAACCGCAAGGAACAACCTCCCATCTCTTCCTTTTTCACTCCTCCTCCCCCTACCCCCTCCCCCTCCCTCTACCTCCTGTCTCCCCCTGTCTCCCCCTGTCTCCCCTTGTCTCCCCCTGTCTCCCCCTGTCTCCCCCTGTCTCCCCCTACCCCCTATCCCCCCTAGAACCCAGTGGCATACCGATAAGTGGCCAACGTGCTGCGGTGATTGGTCGCAAAACCAACCCCCCCAATCTGCCTCTTCCGATTCCCCCCTTTCCTCCCACCACTCCCAGGGCTGCATGGTGCTGCTGGAGCGCAGTGGCGTGCAAATCAGCGGGCAGCGCGCCGTGGTGATTGGGCGCAGCAACATAGTGGGCATGCCAGCTGCAATGCTGCTGGTGGAGCGGGATGCCACAGTCACCATCGTGCACTCGAGGACCAAGGAGCCCAAAGAGATTGTGCAGCAGGCAGATATTGTGATTGCTGCCATTGGGAGAGCCAAGATGGTGAGTGCATGGGGAGTGAGCGATGAGCCGATGGTTAATGGAGAGGGATGCACCAGTCACCATCGTGCACTCGAGGATTATAGATCCCAAGGAGATTGTGAAGCAGGCGGATATCGTCATTGCTGCCAGTGTGAAAGCCAAGATCGTGAGTACATGGAGTGTGGTAACCCGTTAAGAAGAGTTACCATCATGCACCTGAGGACAAGGGAGCCCAGGGAGATTGTGAAGCAGGCGGATATTGTGACCCCTGCCACCATCTGCCACTGCCACCATCTGCCACCATCTGCCACTGCCACCATCGCCTCTGTCTGTCTCTATTGGCTCCCTTTGCCGAGGTGGAAGCTGGTTGGTTGAATCCAGGGTGTGCAGTGATCGACGTGGGAATCAACGCAGTCGACGATGCCAGCAAGGAGGCTGGATACCGACTGTTGGGGGATGGGCTCTCCGAGGTCCATTTTTGAGGCGCCTCAAAGATGGGCACTCCGAGGTCTATTTTTGAGGCGCCTCAAAGATGGGCACTCTGAGGTCGAACCTACTTTTCGATTCTGAGGAAGGTTGCTCCCACCATTCCCCTTCTTCCCACTCAACCCCCCTCCTTCCCTCCTCCCCCCCTCTCCCTCTTCCTCCCCTTTCCCTCTCCCTCTTTCCTTCCTTGCTTTCCCTCCCCCCCCCCTCATTCACCCCCCCACCCCCTCTCCCTCTTCCCAGGTGAAAGGGGACTGGCTGAAGCCGGGGTGTGCAGTGATCGACGTGGGCATCAACGCCATTGACGACTCAACGAAGAAAGCCGGATACCGGCTGGTGGGTGATGTGGACTACGAGGAGGCGAGGGAGGTGGCAGGGTGGATCACCCCGGTGCCAGGAGGGGTGGGGCCGATGACCATTGCCGTGCTGCTGCAACACACGCTCACTGCTGCTGAGAGGGCATTGGGAGGCAGTTCATAGGGGGCGGGAGCTTGATGGCAACAGCTGGGTACCGGCTGGTGGGGGATGTGGACTATGAGGAGGCGAGGGAGTGGCAGGGTGGATCACCCCAGTGCCAGGAGGGGTGGGGCCGATGACCATTCAGTGCTGCTGCAACACATGCTCACTGCTGCGCAGAGAGCTCTAGGAGTGCCTTGTTAGAGCCAAGAAAGCCGGTTACCGGTTGGTGGGCGATATGGACTAGGAGGAGGCAAGAGAGGTGGCAGGGTGGATCACCCGGGTGCTGGGGGGAGTGGGGCCGATGCCATGCTGCTGGAACACACGCTCACTGCTGCTCAGAGGGCTCTTGGAGTCTCGGAGCCCCTTCATAGGGGTGTTATGTGTTATGAACAACTCTAACAACTCACAACACTGGTGCCAGGGGGGATGGGGCTTGCTGTTGCCTCACACCCTGTGAGGCACTAGTGGCCACACGTAGGGCACTAAATTTGTTTCATAGTAATTACAGTGATGCGATTTCGGCGCGAGAAGGGCTAGTACGGTTCTGCGCTGCGCAATAATAATTGGGCTCAGCATAGCTGAGATTCAGGCGAGAGGGGTGAGTCTGGGAAGAGCCCGACCTGGGGAAAGGTCGCAGGAACATGACACCCTCTAAGATGCTTTCAATGGGACCTCAACCATGATCACAACTCTCTATCCTTCACCCAGCTGCCCAGTGCCCACTCAATGCGCATCCGCTTCATCCAACAACTGGCCCTCAACAGCCACAGCAGCCAGCTGTGGTTGTTAAAGCCAACTACACTGGTTCTGGCTTTAAGCCTCACAATGAACTGCACACCGCCGCTATGCTTGCTGCCCCCTGGCTTCGTCCAATAGCTGTTGCTCAACTGCCATTCTCCGAGCCACCATCTCCCCGTACCTCGCGTGCAGGTCCGGCGATCCAGCAGGGATAGCTTCGGAAAGAGAGACAGCGCTGGGGGCTGTTGACGTGGCACCTTCTGCTGTGGCATTTGCTGAGCTGGAAGTTGCTGAGGTGGCGCTCGCATGATCCAGGAGGGATGTGAAGGGAACAAAGGAGCCTTGGGCGTGGCAGAGGTAGCCGTGTGCTGCCCTCAGTGCTGCTCCCAATGAGGCCGAGTCTGCAAGGGAGAAAAAGCGAGGAGGTGAATGGGGAGGAGGTGAATGGGAGAAACGAGCAAAAACGAGAGGAGAGTGTTAAGGCACGGATAGCCGGGTGCTGCTCCCGACGAGGCAGAGTCTGGAGGGGGGCGGAAGGGGGAACAGGAGGGAAAGGAGGGAAAGGGGAGAAAGAGGTTTGTCATCACCACTGGGTGTGGCAGAGATAGCCATGTGCTGCTCTCAGTGCTGCTCCCAATCCCAATGATGCAGAGTCTGGAGGGGGGCGGAGGAAACTGAAGGACAGAGTGTGTGTTGAGGGGGTTATTCAACAGGGGTGGGAGGAAGAACGGCTGCTTTTGAGGCGCCTCAAAAGCGGGTTATTGAACAGGAGTGGGTGGAAGAACCAGCAGTTTCGGGTCTTGGTTGCGGCTGTGTGCTGCCCTCAGTGCTCTAAGAAATGGACTTGAAGTGAAATGCATTTAGTGCATTGTATGTCCGCTTGGTTCGAGCTCATGCTGCTTGCACAGATTTTCTCCCCATTCACTCCTTACATACAGACTAAGCATGAAAGAAGATTTGCTTTGAGACGTCTCAAAACAAATCTTCTGTCACTTAACCTCACGCTACTTTGAGGCGCCTCGAAAGTTAACCTCACGCTGCTTTTAGGCGCCTCAAAACTAAACCTCATGCTGCTTTGAGGCGCCTCAAAACTAGACCTCACGCTGCTTGCACAGAATGTCTATCACTCACTCCTTCGAGAGTAAACATGAAGAACAGAAACAAGAACGAAACAAGAACGAAACAAAATCGAAACTAACGAAACAGAAACAGACCAAACAAAAGAGAAAACAAAGCTAATCGTGCAGCTTGCTTGAGTCACCTGTGGATGTCGAGGTGTACACCGGGCAGCCAAAAACATTTGCCATGGTGTGCAGGATCGCCTCATTGGCCGAACCACCCCCAGTGGCCATGATTCGGGCAGGCGGGCTCTGCAACCCGATCCGCTCTGCATGTCCCCTCATTGCTGCTAGCTGCCCCTCCACCAGTGCCCTGATCTGTGAGCGAGAGAGACAAACTTGAAAGATTGAGGGGGTTGAAAGATCAGAGGGGAGCGAAGGGGGTTGCAACACAATTCGCTCTGCATGCTCCCATTGCTGCTAGCTGCCCCTCCACTAACGCTCTGATCTGAGAGTAAGAGGGGGAAGAACAAGAGAGAAAGGAGCTGGGGAGCGGGGACTCTGATCTGTGAGCAACATGAAAGCGTGGGGGGGGAGGTGCGGGCGAAAGGTGGGGATGGGGCACGTGATAAAGAAACAAAAGAAATGCTTTCTCGAGACACAAACACTCTTCTGCCGTCTTATGCGAGAGCGGCAGGAGCATCTCCTCCAGGCTCCAGCGACTCCAGAAGCAGAGGTGAGAAGGTCCGGTCGCTATACCACTCTTTTGATGCAGCCTGAATAGCAGTACCTCACCAGATGGTGAGTTTTGAGTCGCCTCAAAACGCATCTCCTCCAGCAACGCCAGAAGCGGAGGTGCCTCTGGAGCACCTCGCCATACTGCTGTTTTGATTTGATGCGGCCTGAGCAGCGGTACCTCGCTTGCCAGATGAGTGAGAAGGTCCGGTCGGTCGGCTGCAAACCTTGTGAGCGTTGTGAGAGGACCACTTGCACGAGTCACCTCGCTACAATGTTGCACGTCACATTATCTAGTCGACTAAAAAAAGGACCACTTGTGCGAGGGACAAGAGCTTTTCTGCCAGCGAGGTAAAAGAGACCGGCCAATAAATAGACCTTGCCGTAAATAAACCGGCCAAGCCAAGCCCCCATTCAGGTGGTGACGAAGGCTTGGATCAAGAATTGAGAGCGGATGCTTTTGAGGCAACTCATAAGCAGAAGCATTGATTTTGAATTGAGCCAACCCGAACCAAGCAGTACCTCTTCAGGTGGTGAGAAGGTCTGGTCGGGGTCAAGCCTTGTGAGCGCCGAGAGAGGGCCTCTAACAGCCGCTTCTGAAGTAGCTGAGCCGTCGCCTTGCTTTGGCGCATACCGATGAGTTCCCACTGAAAACGGGCACGGAGCAGAAAAGAAAGAGAGAGGATTGGCAGCAAGTCTTGTGAGCGCCGAGAGAGGGTCCCTAGCAGCCGCTTCTGAAGTAGTTGCACGGCCACCTTCCTTTGGCACATACCGATGAGTTCCCACTGAAAACGGGCACGGAGCGGCAATGGAGGAATGGAATAGGGAGAGAGAGGAGGGGAAGAGAGAGTGAGATGACACGCGGAAACAGAAAGAGGGTGGAGGGGCATGAGAATGTGTTGTTTTGAGGCGCCTCAAAACTAGAGGGTGGAGGGGCATGAGAATGTGTTACGGCGATAGAAAACCAAAGTTTGAGGCGCCTCAAACCTATTCTTGAGGCACCTAAAAGATGAGCAAAAAGAGGGCAGAAGGGCACAAGACTGTTCTATGGCGTGAGAAATCCCAGAGGTGGAGTGGAGAGGAGGATACCAAGTTAGATTCTCAAGATGTGAGCTGGACCAAGAGGTGGGGCGGACAACATTTTAAAATTCTCGACTATCTGCTGACTCGGACTGAAAACGACCAAGACTCAGGGTTATGGAAGAGAGCGAGTGAAATGGAAGGGGGAGAATAACGGCCTGATTGCTAGTCTATACAAGAAGCAGCGCGTCACATCAGTCAAGGCACCTGGTAGTGGTGGGATGATTTCTGAGTCGAGATAGTAGAGGCCCATGCGACCACCTGTGGAGGAAGAGGTAAGTAAAATAAAGACAACAAACAAATGATTCCGAGTCGAGGTAGTAGAGAGGCCCATGCGGCCACTTGTTAGCGCAGAAAGCGGGGGATAGACACAGAAAGGAGACCCTACGGCACAGAGCACGAGCCTTGCGCTTTGCAGCCTGTAAAGACGACCCTACGACGGCATGTAAAAGAATAAATGAAAAAGGTGAAAATAGCGTGGTTGAAGCCACCCGCTGGTATGTAGCATGTACTAGCCGTTCAAGGGAGGTGAGGTGACTCATTGAGCAATCGGCAGAATGCCTCCCATGACTCTTTTCTCACGCACCTAAGAAATGCATGCCGCTTGATGCACTAACCGTTCAAGGGAGGAGACTCATTGAGCAGCTGGCAAAATGACTCCCATGACCCGCCTGCACAGCGGTCCCTGATGGCTGGGGGACGACACGACATGACATGATGGAATTATAGCACACTCGAGTACGCTCGCACCGTTGATGTCACACACACCCTGGCCTTATCAAGCAGCTGGTCGATTTCTTCCCACGACCCTGATGGTGGTCCCTGATGGCTGGGAGGAGGTGGGTGGGAGGGATGATGGGAGTATAGTAGAGTCCAGTACAGTCACACCACTAAGGTCGTCACACACACCCTAGCCTTATCAAGCACGTGGCAGAGTGCCTCCCACGACCCTCCTCCACAGCGGTCCCTGATAACCGGGACCCCGAGATGCAATCATGATGATTGGGCATTGTATGGGATTGGTGGGATGGATCGGTGGGATGGATCGGTGGGACGGATCGGTGGGATGGATCGGTGGGATGGATCGGTGGGATGGATCGGTGGGATGGATCGGTGGGATGGGTCGGTGGGATGGATCGGTGGGATGGATCGGTGGGATGAATCGGTGGGATGGATCGGTGGGATGGATCGGTGGGATGGATCGGTGGGATGGATCGGTGGGATGGGATGGGGCATGATAGATAACATGAGGTTACCATCGAGTTGACACAAAAATGATCGGCATGATAGTTCAAATCATCAAGACAGCATCCAGGACGCATTTGGGTTGCAAACAAAATGTACACGCATATCTACATGTATATATGCATATCAATTATACACGATAATAGATTCCATATGTAGAAACAATGTACCTTGTCGAGTGAGTGACCCGTTCTTGTAGCAGATCATGGCCATAAACGAGGATGGATCCACAGGATTGGGAAACACATGGCCTTCCAATCCTGGTTGGGGGTGCTGAACCACCGCAAACACCTGGAGGGGATGGGACGTAGCAGAGGGGGTGGATGACAGTTGGAAATGGGCTGGCATTGACAGGGTGGAATAGGATGGGATGAGATGGGAGGGGATGGGAGGGGATGGGAGGGTAGGGGACGGGAGGGTAGGGGACGGGAAGGGAGTAGGTCAGCGATTCATAGCGATGTGGGTGCGAAGAGGAGGGAGTGGGGAATTGAACAAACTGCTTGCTCTGATACCCTTGCCAGACATACTTACAGTGTCGCTCGTCCCAAGGCTTATGCCCACATCGCCCGAGCCTCCAAGCGCCAAACCTGCGAGACAGGCACGGCAGGTGGCACAGCATTAGGTTCGGGGAACTTGTCTCTCTCCTCTACGTTGACTAAAAACAAAAAGAAGGCTGAGTCACCCAATACTGTGCAGTACAGACTTTGAAGTCGTCAATCCAAGCACGGCAGAAGCGCACTCCTTACCTGCAAGACTGCAAGGGTTGTCGCCAGACCATGCCACGACTTGGCAAGTAGGAGAGAAGCCGAACCTAGAGCAAGCAGGAGGGAGGAGGACGAGGTAGAACAGTTGGGGGAAGCCGGAGGAGGGAGGGGGGGGGAGGGGGGTAGGTTGTGAAGTGCCGCAAAGGTTGTCGCCAGACCAATTAGGAGAGAAGCCAAACCTAGAGCGAGCAGGAGGGAGGGCAGGAGGGAGGGCAGGAGGGAGGGCAGGAGGGGGAACGGAGGATGAAAAAGAGAGTGGAAAGCAGGAGGGAGAGCGGGGAGAGAGTGGGTTGATCTCACAATACATAACAGATATGCATGCATCGAGGCTCTTTTCAGAACTTGATACGACATTTTGCTTCTTTGTATATTTGTTTGTATGTTTTTTTAATTTAGCCGTGCACCTTTCCACATAGTAGCCATGCACATTGCCAACCACCTCGTGTGAAGGGACAACCTCGCCAAGCCTCTCCCGCAGGTTTGGCGCAGTGGCCTGGCAGGTCCGGGCAGAGGGAATGAAAGAGCATGCAATGAGGGTGTGTAAGAAATAAGCCGATAACATTATGGCACAATCCGTTACTTGCACACTGATGCACTACTAGTACTATGGATGCTGTTTTTTTGTTGTTTTTGTTTTTGATTTTTTTTCCGTGGAACAAATTCGGCAGCATAAGAAAAGGACGGGACACATGCACATCACAATATGATCTCATGACACACACCGTGCTGTGATGACGTAATATGTTACACAACTTGCTGCAGAAAATGACCCAGATGCTGATGCTGCTTCTCATGCCACGTCAGCTCACCTCTAGTGCCACGTCAGCCCACTCTCTCGTCCGTAGATCCATCAGATTCATCCCAGCGCCGTCAGCAGCATCAATAGGAGCGTAATCCCCGACCAATAGCGATGCTCCAAACGAGCTGACCAATGAGATCCTCTCCGTGTTCTCATACTCCCGAGGCTGATGTTGCCACACACGCCGAACCTGAGGCCCAGTAAACCGCTCGTAGGCTCGGGAGCCCGTCAGCCGAGCCAATGCTGCAGGCCCGCCAAGAGCTGCTTCGATTTCCCTACACTGGGATGCTGTGCTGCTGTCCATCCAGATGGGGGAATCTAACAGCGAAAAAACACTTGATGATGCATCATCTAGTAAAGAAGCACCTTTAATCGAATCGCTTGAGCTGAATCCCTCTCCCGTGCCTTGAAGCTTGCTTTCTTCTTTCCTGTATCTCTCATCACCACATAACTGCGCGAAAAGGGTTCGGTCAGATCTAAGATTTGCAAGCCGTGCCCGGGCTCCTCTCCGCCAGTAAACGCTCCCGTGCTGCTGCCCGCTGCCCGAAACTGCTCGGACCTTATCGAACGGAAAATCCGCATCCTTCAATCTCGTTAAAATCAAATCAAACGCCTCCACCCACATGGCTGGTGGTGCGGTAACTCTGAGCGCCGAGCCGGAAGAGGAGGTTCGGGAATCAGGCTCGGCGGAGGCTCGGTGCACGCCTCCGGAGGTTCGGTAGTGCGGGAGGGCAGTGTCGTACTGGAGGGACTCGGTAGTGACGATCCGAAGGGAGGAATCGACTACCGTGGCCTTGAGTGACCTGAAAAAAGGGGTGATTATAATGGGGGCCAGAAAAAATAAGAGTGTGCGTGCAGGAGGGCAGTGTCATACTGAAGTGATTTGGAACGGTATCTACCACAGGGGATGAATCTGGCAGGGTACTTTTGAAAATTCTAAAAAATACCCGGCAGTGTCATGCTGAAGTGATTCGGTAGGGTATCTACCACACGAAGGGATGAATCGAGCGCTATGAATCGAGCGCTATGAATCGAGCGCTATGAATCGAGCGCTATGAATCGAGCGCTATGAATCGAGCGCTATGAATCGAGCGCTATGAATCGAGCGCTATGAATCGAGCGCTATGAATCGAGCGCTATGAATCGAGCGCTATGAATCGAGCGCTATGAATCGAGCGCTATGAATCGAGCGCTATGAATCGAGCGCTATGAATCGAGCGCTATGAATCGAGCGCTATGAATCGAGCGCTATGAATCGAGCGCTATGAATCGAGCGCTATGAATCGAGCGCTATGAATCGAGCGCTATGAATCGAGCGCTATGAATCGAGCGCTATGAATCGAGCGCTATGAATCGAGCGCTATGAATCGAGCGCTATGAATCGAGCGCTATGAATCGAGCGCTATGAATCGAGCGCTATGAATCGAGCGCTATGAATCGAGCGCTATGAATCGAGCGCTATGAATCGAGCGCTATGAATCGAGCGCTATGAATCGAGCGCTATGAATCGAGCGCTATGAATCGAGCGCTATGAATCGAGCGCTATGAATCGAGCGCTATGAATCGAGCGCTATGAATCGAGCGCTATGAATCGAGCGCTATGAATCGAGCGCTATGAATCGAGCGCTATGAATCGAGCGCTATGAATCGAGCGCTATGAATCGAGCGCGATGAATCGAGCGCTATGAATCGAGCGCTATGAATCGAGCGCTATGAATCGAGCGCTATGAATCGAGCGCTATGAATCGAGCGCTATGAATCGAGCGCTATGAATCGAGCGCTATGAATCGAGCGCTATGAATCGAGCGCTATGAATCGAGAGCTATGAATCGAGCGCTATGAATCGAGCGCTATGAATCGAGCGCGATGAATCGAGCGCTATGAATCGAGCGCTATGAATCGAGCGCTATGAATCGAGCGCTATGAATCGAGCGCTATGAATCGAGCGCTATGAATCGAGCGCTATGAATCGAGCGCTATGAATCGAGCGCTATGAATCGAGCGCTATGAATCGAGCGCTATGAATCGAGCGCTATGAATCGAGCGCTATGAATCGAGCGCTATGAATCGAGCGCTATGAATCGAGCGCTATGAATCGAGCGCTATGAATCGAGCGCTATGAATCGAGCGCTATGAATCGAGCGCTATGAATCGAGCGCTATGAATCGAGCGCTATGAATCGAGCGCTATGAATCGAGCGCTATGAATCGAGCGCTATGAATCGAGCGCTATGAATCGAGCACCGTTGCCTTGAGTGACCCGAGAGCGCGTGATGAGAGAAAGGGAAAATTAACTGATTTCGGGTCGGACCTTGTATTCTCAAAAGAATGGTCCGACCCCAAATCAGTTTCTTCTTCCTTTCTCAAACCTTTTGTGGGACGGCAGTGCGTGCGATCCTGGAAGGCATTTTCAGCTGCCACTGCGTTAAGTTAGTATCACTTCGGTGCCGAATTGGTGCTCTCTCGGAGCGAAGTGCCACACTCGAAGGCATTGCGGAATCAGTGCACTAATCTCAAGCTCAGACATCACCGGATTGAACCGAGGTTGGAATAACTCGTCGTGACTTAACTGCGACTTTAAATGCGTGAGGAGTCGATTTTTTTAGGCGCCTCAAAATGCGTGAGGAGTCGATTTTGAGGCGCCTCAAAATGCGTGAGGAGTCGATTTTTGAGGCGCCTAAAAAAACTTATCTGCGACTTTTGAGCCAACTCAAAAGTCACCTCGCTTCGATTTTGCAAGCTCGAGCTAGTTTCTTCCGTAACTTACTGCGTGGAGCTATCGAAGCCGAGGAAGAGACCGTCGAGACCCAGCAATGCCGCCGCCATGGCTACAACGTGACGTTGGGAACAGGAACGGAAACAAGGCAATCACGCGAGCAGTGCCCACAAAGATTTCCAAAACCAAGTTTCGGGCGAGGATTGAGCTAGATAAGCATTCTAGGCCTTTCGTGCCTGCTAGACCGTCTGGAGTCGGCGCGCTTAGAGGCGCCTAAACTATAACTAGCAACAGCACGGCAGAATCTAGGCTGGGTTGGACAAGGACTGAGGAAGAATCTCTACTTGGGGGGAAATCAGGGAAATTGCTATGGTGCATAAGGATGCATCTCGGTGCTGTCGGGTTTTTCGTTTAGCCAGGCGCACGTCCAGGACGTGTTCGGGTGAAGTGAGATCGGTGAATGGCTTCATTGGTACGTTGCTGAAACGAGCCGAGTCTCTTTTCCACCTTACGATCACCTCCCCCTGGATTCTTTCCCAGTTTCTTTTGCTCGGACTGAACATATCACCAGCCAATTTTCCGTCGGAGTGGTTGTCCCGCGCACCTCGAGACCTTTCTCACCACCTCGTTCTCGACAAGATAAATTGCTCTGTTACACCTTCGGGGTGCTCCCTTGAGTTCAAAGGTCACTCTGTACGCGATTACGTGGTCCCGTACATCAACTACAGTGTATTGAAAACATCAACGTCACAACAAAAAAAAACTACACAGCATATGTAACAAATGAACGAAATAATATAGCGAGCCAATTGATTCCATTGCACAGCCACGAGCAGTAGCTGTCGTATATCATGCGCTCTCGCTCCTCAACGGGCAACGTCTTTCCGATCCCAAAGTGTCCGGCCAGAAAGAATGGATGAGAGGCGCTCAAAGAGAGTCCTGCCAAACAATGTAACAAACGAAGGTTGCTTATTGCAAGGTGTTTTCCATGTCTTCCCCTTCTTAACACAAGAGTGAAGGCAAGGGAGGGTGGAGAGAGGGTGAGGGGGGAGGGTGGGGAACTCTGGGGGAAAGGGGGGATCCAAGGGAAAGGGGGAAGTGGAAGGAAATTTGGGCACCTCTGAGGTTTTTGAAGTGCTTTTGAGGCCCTTAAAAATATGCAAGGGAGAAGGGACTGGCAGAGATGCTAATCCTCACCACATGACTGCTTGCTGCAATGATTGCTCCATGACAGGAGGGACAGGAGGAGATGCCTTTTGCGAATTCTGGAAATGATGACCGGAGGGACAAGAAGAGATGCTACAATCCCCCTCTTTCCCCCATGGCTCCTAACCATGTGATGTGAGTGCTTGCTGCAATGATCTCTTCATGACCTGGGGCAAACCCCCCCCCCCCCTTGAGTTAAGTCAAGAACAGGTGGAGACAGAAATCCTCAACTCAAGAACAGGTGGAGACAGTAATCCTCAACTCAAGAACAGGTGGAGACAGAAATCCTCACGCACGCTAGTCCTCACCATGTGAGTGCTTGCTGCAACGATCGCTTCATGACCCGGGGCACCACCCCTCTGAAGAAGCCAGGCAAACCTTGCGACTGGAGGGGGGAAAATGAGGGGGGGGTTAGTGAGTGCGTGCACAGTATGTATCTGCCTGAGCCATCTATTTATCTTGACCATGCCATACCTTGCACACAGTGACTTCTGAATTGACTCGAAAAGCGCCCTTTTTGGGGGTTGTGTGGGGATTAAGTAAGCGCTGGGAATAAATAAGTGTGCACGATGTAACTGCCTGGTTCTTCTATCTTGGTCATGCCACACCTTGCACACAATCACCTTGTAATCGGGTCGAGGCTTGCCTTACACACATCGCTACATTGCTTCAGGGTCCGTTCCTGACCTACCTTGTAGATGGCTGACGTGGCACCAATCATGGACAGTGGCTTGCCAGGTGTCGCTAGCAGAGTGGCCAGCTGCAGGTGGGTTCGCACCTGGTGGGCAGAAAAACATGCAAGGAAAAAAAATGGAGATTGAAAATGGGGAGAAAAGAAAAGACAGGCATGCGAGTGATAATGAGTGGCCTATTGCGCTGGTGGGGTGGGGTGTGCAAACTGCACAGGAAACTCATGCATGAGCGAAAAAAAAAGGGGGGAAACAAGTTTTGAGGCGCCTCAAAACTGCACAGGAGGAAACTCATCCTGCATGGGCGAATAAAATGGGGGAAACAAAATCCTGGCGGGAGAATGAAGCTCTTTTCGTTGTTCAAGGTCGAGCCAGCAGGTGGGAGGAAAGAATGGTTGCCAGCAGGTTCTGACTCACCACATCAGGCGGGTGGGTCAGAATGGTTGCCAGAGCCCCTGCTGCTGCTCCTGTGATGGATAAGGACAATGCGCCGAATTCAAGAATGCAGAAATAGATGAGGCCTAGAGCCTAAAGGAATTAAATCTACCAAGGAAGATGAATGAATCAATCCTCCAGCTTGAGGAAACGGCAAGAAAGGAAGAGAACAGAAAGAGAAGACGAAGCGTGGTTGGAAAAAATACGACAAGGAAGAAATTTGATCTGTTGAAGAGATCATAAGGTGTTGGCAGACATACGGTAAAGAAACCATACGGTGGATGTCTGATCATGAGGGCAGGGGATGATGAGAGAATACCCGAACACACCTGCTGCCATTGTGGAGACCGTTCGAGCCCCATGCCCATCATCAGAGGAAATGCGATCTGTCGGTTTGCACAGGGAGGAAACGGAGGATGTGTAAACCTTCCATGGCCCATGGCCCATGCCCCATGGCCCATGCCCCATGTCCCATGCCCCATGCCCCATGCCCCATGCCCCATGCCCCATGCCCCATGCCCCATGCCCCATGTCCCATGTCCCATGCCCCATGCCCCATGCCCCATGTCCCATGCCCCATGTCCCATGCCCCATGTCTCATGCCCCATGTCCCATGCCCCATGTCCCATGCCCCATGCCCCATGCCCCATGTTCCATGCCCCATGCCCCATGCCCCATGTCCCATGCCCCATGTCCCATATCCCATGTCCCATGTCCCATGCGATCTGTCATGACACACCATCGGAAAACCCGTTGGTGCGCCCATGACCGCCTCTCCATGAAAATGAGAGGTGGCTTCCAATGAGACTGCTGGAACGTCATGGCACGATGGGAATCCAATCTTGGCGTTTTTTAGAGAGAAAAAAAAAAAAAAAAAAAAAAAAAAAAAAAAAACACACACACACACACACACACACACAGCACAAACACTAAGGGCGCACAGAGCGCTCTCTGCCTCCCAAATCAGAATGGCGTGGCGAGTAGTAAGGGCCGTTGCGTACGTATGTAGGAGCGCGTGCGGGCGGGAGTATGGGGTAGTAATGTCAGTGTAGTTTTGAGACCTCTCAAGACTACACTTCTATCACACGCATGTATGACGGAGCGCATGCGGGAGATTATGGGGCTGTACGTCCTTACAGTTCCGAGATTGAATCTGTGTATGGGTATCAGATCAAATCGGGCAGAACTAAGGGCCGTTGTGTATGTATGTATGAGAGGGTGAATACCAGGCACACATATTACCATTTATGAAGGAGCGAACGCAGAGTATGGGTTATTAAGTAATGCATGTGCTGTTAAGGAGCTGCGAGTCCTGATGTAAATGCTTACAGTCACGCACGCATGCACGCTCGCACGCACGCACGCACGCACGCACGCACGCACGCACGCACGCAGGCACGTACGCACGGACGCACGCATGCACGCACGCATGCACCGACATACCAGGCACATACATTACCATGAATGAAGGAGCGCATACATTACCATGAATGAAGGAGCGCATACATTACCATGAATGAAGGAGCGCATACATTACCATGAATGAAGGAGCGCATACATTACCATGAATGAAGGAGCGCATACATTACCATGAATGAAGGAGCGCATACATTACCATGAATGAAGGAGCGCATACATTACCATGAATGAAGGAGCGCATACATTACCATGAATGAAGGAGCGCATACATTACCATGAATGAAGGAGCGCATACATTACCATGAATGAAGGAGCGCATGCGTGAGTAGAGCACGAGATAGATCCCGGAGTACGGCGCATCTCTTAGCAGAGTGGTTCCCAATCCTCGATATAAGCCTGCACACGAATGCGGAACCCATCAAATTAGACTTCGCAAGCCCCAAACTAGCTAAAGTTGCATGGTCTCACTTCAGGCTTGCTCTGCAATTCACCTGCTATTCCCTCTGACCGGGCAATCGCCGTCAATCCACCAAGAGTTCCTCTATAAGACTCTCCGCTCACTGCAGAGAACTGCACTGTAGAAAGGGTGTACAAACAAACGAAACAAGAGAGATTGCATAGCAGCGAGGCTCGATCCACCCAAGTTATTTCTTCCTACAGAAGCTCTCACTCGATTGCAAAGCAACTCACTGTGCCCAACAAGAATATTTCTGTCATTACCATTCAAATAATGTCCAATCTTGAAACAAGAGCCTAGCCTAGTGTTTGCTCCTGTTGTTAGAAAAAATTGGTGATTTGACTTGGCTCAACACAGCGCAGCAGCAGCAGCTAGGGACCGTGAAAGCACAGTCAGTGTCGGTACTAGCGTCCTTATGACTACTTCACGTACAGGCACTCACCTCCATACCAACGAGACTTACCACAGACACGGGGCACAGCGCAGCAGCAACCAGCCAAGGACCGCAATACCAATGTTAGTATCTGAAATACTAGAGTAACGCATGAAGGCACTCATCTCCATACAAGTCTTAACCATGGACGCCGGGCACAGCGCAGTGGCAGCCAAGGACCGCAACACCACTGCTATCATCTGAAATACTAGAGTAACGCACTAAGGCACTCACCTCCATACGAGTCTTGACCACAGACACGGGGCACAGCGCAGCAGCAGCCAGCCAGGGACCGTGAAACCACAGCTCCTATCAGCAGTACCAGCGTCGATGATCACTACTAAGGTACATACAGACACTCACCTCCATGCGAGTTTTGACTACAGAAAAGGGGCACAGCACAGCGTCAGCAGTAGGCGACGGTGAAAGCATTGACAATGACAGTACTGGCGTCATAGGGTACAGACACTCACCTCCATGCGAGTCTTAACCACAGACACGGGGCACAGCGCAGCAGCAGCCAGGGACCGCGAAACCACAGCCGCCAGAAACGTCACCCGGGACGAGAACTGATGAGCGCTCCTCTGAGCAACCACAGACGACGAGGCCGCTGAGGACGGTAACGAATCCTCTTTTAACGAACCCCCTCCTAGCTCC